GTAGTAGTAGTAGTAGTAGTAGTAGTAGTAGTAGTAGTAGTAGTAGTAGTAGTAGTAGTAGTAGTAGTAGTAGTAGTAGTAGTAGTAGTAGTAGTAGTAGTAGTAGTAGTAGTAGTAGTAGTAGTAGTAGTAGTAGTAGTAGTAGTAGTAGTAGTAGTAGTAGTAGTAGTAGTAGTAGTAGTAGTAGTAGTAGTAGTAGTAGTAGTAGTAGTAGTAGTAGTAGTAGTAGTAGTAGTAGTAGTAGTAGTAGTAGTAGTAGTAGTAGTAGTAGTAGTAGTAGTAGTAGTAGTAGTAGTAGTAGTAGTAGTAGTAGTAGTAGTAGTAGTAGTAGTAGTAGTAGTAGTAGTAGTAGTAGTAGTAGTAGTAGTAGTAGTAGTAGTAGTAGTAGTAGTAGTAGTAGTAGTAGTAGTAGTAGTAGTAGTAGTAGTAGTAGTAGTAGTAGTAGTAGTAGTAGTAGTAGTAGTAGTAGTAGTAGTAGTAGTAGTAGTAGTAGTAGTAGTAGTAGTAGTAGTAGTAGTAGTAGTAGTAGTAGTAGTAGTAGTAGTAGTAGTAGTAGTAGTAGTAGTAGTAGTAGTAGTAGTAGTAGTAGTAGTAGTAGTAGTAGTAGTAGTAGTAGTAGTAGTAGTAGTAGTAGTAGTAGTAGTAGTAGTAGTAGTAGTAGTAGTAGTAGTAGTAGTAGTAGTAGTAGTAGTAGTAGTAGTAGTAGTAGTAGTAGTAGTAGTAGTAGTAGTAGTAGTAGTAGTAGTAGTAGTAGTAGTAGTAGTAGTAGTAGTAGTAGTAGTAGTAGTAGTAGTAGTAGTAGTAGTAGTAGTAGTAGTAGTAGTAGTAGTAGTAGTAGTAGTAGTAGTAGTAGTAGTAGTAGTAGTAGTAGTAGTAGTAGTAGTAGTAGTAGTAGTAGTAGTAGTAGTAGTAGTAGTAGTAGTAGTAGTAGTAGTAGTAGTAAGTAGTAGTAGTAGTAGTAGTAGTAGTAGTAGTAGTAGTAGTAGTAGTAGTAGTAGTAGTAGTAGTAGTAGTAGTAGTAGTAGTAGTAGTAGTAGTAGTAGTAGTAGTAGTAGTAGTAGTAGTAGTAGTAGTAGTAGTAGTAGTAGTAGTAGTAGTAGTAGTAGTAGTAGTAGTAGTAGTAGTAGTAGTAGTAGTAGTTAATCATGAGTTGAATACATCAAGTAAATAAAACCCTATATATTCATAAATCTATATACATTACTAATTGCTTGATTACAAAGCGCTACAAATAAGAAATCATAGTTTACACAATAGTTAAATTATAATGTAGTAACTGTTTAATTGAATTCTTCAAATAATTGCTTTGATTATTAAAATCTTTTGTTTCTACTAATTATTCACTATTATTTTATAATCAATATGGCATTATACATAATTATGTTACATAACTACTACTCCTAAAGTATTTCATTGTTGTACATCATACAAGAGATATTTCCTGGAGTTTTAATGAGAAGCAGTAACCAGTAGAGTTCAACTGAGTCTGTTGTAAGATAATAACTCACTGGAGACAATGGTAGATGCATCGCTCAATTTCGTGGATTAATTGAAATTAGTTATTAACACTGTTAGATACTGGTTCACTGGTCTAATAGTTAAGCGCTGATATGTCCTAGATTCGAATCTCACGAGGCGGGATCGTGGATGCACACTTCTGAGAAGTCCCACATTAGGACGAAACGGTTGTCCAGTGCTTCCATGGTGGTCTAGCTTTAATTGACTCATGATCTCAACTACTAAAATCATATATATGTTAGTGTAAAAGTCATAATGAAGGACTAATTCTAAAAAAAAGTGTCTTTGTTCTATTCGTTCTTCTTTTTACAATACATTTCAAAATGAGAACTTTCACTATAAACTTTAAGTAATACAAACTTGAGCAATCGGTCCGTAATTAATTCACAATAATTTATGATAAATAATCACGTATTTAAAATCTAAGCTCTTATATTTGTACCGATTTCCTGGATGGCAAATCAATTGATGAAGTAATGAAACTTCATTAGTTAGGATGGATGGGACATGTGTTACGTATGCCCAACCACCGACTATCCTGATGTGCGATGTTTTATGATGTAGGAGTAGATTGTAAGAAAGGTAGGGGCTGACAGACCAAAACATGGTATAAATCTATAAAGTCACTAACAAGCGAACTGGGCCATGTTGGTTGGGATCTGCGAGACGATAGTGGATGATGGTTAGAGACCTTGAATGACATAACTCAAAATCGTTTGCAATGGCGCAGGCGAATCTACTCTTTGTGTTCTCCCAAATTCTAATATTTTGAATTCTTCATGTCCCTTTATTTTTTCTCTTTCCGACTTTATTTCACTATATTATACTCCTTGAATAACATCTTCAAACCCTAATGCTTCCGACTACTGTTTATATTTTTACTACCTCTACGGGATTTGAATCGACAACTGCATCTCTGTGCTGATGTGATATCGCAACTCGAGCTGATGTGCATATTTACGAAGTTCTACGTTATTACTGACTGACTGACCGATTTCCTGCATACTTTTCATTCTTCTATCTCATTTGTTGAATGTTTCATTCTTATGTTGAGCCTTGCAGTTTTATTCTTTCTCCGTTTTTCTGTGAACTGCAAATGTCACAAGTTATACCGATACTCATTTATGTTATATCATAAATTGTCTATAATCAATTGACTAAATTACTTAATATATCGACATTAAAGTATAAACTACATCATCATAATAGTAGCAATGTTGAACACTTTTGTTCATTGTTCCGTAATCATATCCAATCTTCTCTATTATCTGTATTTCTATTTCAATTTCTTTATTGTTATTTTATGCTTTGTGTGTGTGTGTGTATGAAAGAGGGAGTGAGAGAGAGAGAAAGCCTATGTGTATCACCAATTTTTCGACATGGATATATGTTACTCGATTTGTATTACATACACTGTATAGGTACTAAAATCAAAACACATGTAATTCAGTGCATATAACGTATAATTTTGTAGTCGACATAACTCATTTCAATTGTAGAGTATTTAAACAAACCGAAAAATAAAAACAAATCAAGTACACTCTAACTGTTAATTTATTTCGTTGGTGTTTCATACTTAAGATTGTTGTCGATTTGATCATTTTAATATTTTTCGAACTACTCATTTGTTAATTGAGCATTTGAATCAGCCTTACCTTTAATTGAATCAGTGTAAAGTTCTTGTTGTAAGAGTCTAGGGATAAACTTTACATTGTCAAATCAATCTAAGTATATTGTAGTCAGTAATCACGGTTATGTTTTCGTTTATTCAATCATTAAATTGTAAATATTTTAAATAATTTCCATTGTAGAATTAATTGGAAGTTTGGCTTTGTCTGCGTTGTAATTTTTCTCCCATCATGGCTGACTGACTGCCCTACATGTCCGTAGCATAATAGAGTGGTATTTTCGTCGTAGAAAACTACATTTTACATATAATAAAACACTCCTTCTATCATGGATTAGGACAATCTAAATAAAAATTTTCGCTTCATTTTAATTGGTCGCCAGGTTCAAGTTTGAAATTACGTACAAAAGTAGAGTTTATCTTCACTCTTGTAAGAGGATTGTAAAGATTTTTTCACACTGTTTGCCTGAACCAATAGTCGTTAACAGAAAGCCATTGATACAAAATTTACATTCAAAGCAAAGCCGCAAAATGCCCTGGTACGGTCCAGGATGGGGGAGATTCAGCTCTCCCTCTCGAAATGCTCTTACAACCACTTTCAGCGAAGTTCTGCTCACTGCTTTCTCGCGGTGAGGTTTTTGTTTACGAAACAGAGAGGACGAAGAGCGAATATCCAGTGCTTTAACCGAGTTGATGGATATAGAGGGTCCACGTAGGGGAGTTGGAAAACCCTGATTCCAAACCAATGGTGTTCATGGACTCCAGGTTTGTGAAGGAACCAATGGAGTATGAACCTATTGTTGGTCAGCTGCTATCACGCATTCGCGTCTCCTAACGTTGCTCCACTCCCTTGTGGATTAGACCTATCTGTTAAAAGCTTGGGGTGGCCTCCTAAGAAAACTACCTGTTTCGGTCTGGACACCAGGGCAGTAATCCAGCCCTCACACACATCGAATTACAAAGTGTGGTACACACATAATTGATGCCTCTATATACCAATGTTTATGTGCCCAAATGAATAAATCAAGGCAAAATAATCCAATACTCGGAATAGATCATACAACTGCTCTCCTGTAATTACACTCCAATCACACAGGCCTCACTATAAATCGATCATATATCATTTTCCCATCATATCTGTAAAACATATCCTATCCATCTCAGTCGTTGAGGATTCTCTACCTCGTTAACCGATTTGACTTAATTGCCTAGATGTTCATATGCCTGAAGGTATAAGTTTGAATGTTGGCTTAGTGGTTTAGTCGTTTGACTTCCAATCACTAGGCCTTAGATTCCAAATACGCTTCCCTTACTTTGGTTCCAGTCAGTCAAATGTAGGTAACATAGAACCTCGTTCATGTGTACATTGGTTTATGTTTCCGCATAACAGCGAGATGAAATTGTCAGTGGAAATCCCAGAGTAATAGATGTAGTAAAAATATTATTGGTCTTTGGACTTTGGTTATACGATTCGAGAAGAAAATATAAATTAATCAGATAATAAGAAATTTATCGCAGTTTTAGAAACTTAAGATTTGAAGGAAGACAAATAGTGAATGCACTGTACGATTGCGAATGATTTAGAACCATAGCACTCAACGTTCCTAACCAGTCGTTATGATAGTCACGTGGACACGTAACCAGGTAGTCTACACCTATGTACATGATCAAGTCCCAGCAGTCAGTGTCTCCATGGTCTGATAACATGTTTTCATTTGCCTGATTGTACCTTTCTTCTAACTTCTACTTCGATTTGCACAACTAGTTAGTATCAATAGCCTTCGTAATTTGTGTATGACACATGTCAAACTACCTGATAAATGAGTTAATCTATTTTTCTTTTCTATATTAACAGACACTTATTTTATCTTTATTAAATCGTATTATGCGACCAAAACGTGTTATTATATTTGGTTTAATATTTGAAGCAATTCAATTAACATTATATGGTTTTGTTACAAATTCTGGCTTATTATGGTCAGCTGGTTTAATTGCTGCTACGGGCTCTATCACATATCCTGCTCTAAGTACATTTATATCAACTCATGCTGCAGCAGATCAACAAGGTGTAGCACAAGTAAGTCAGTTATTATTGATTATTATCAGATTCTGACTAAATATAAAGTTTTCGATTATCATGATTTGATTACATTCACTGATATAAAGTATTCGAGTTTCAGTCATCAAGTTCTAGGTTCGGACCCCACTCCGTCTATTTTGGTTTCAGTAATCGAGTAATATAGTACCTACGATGTCGGGGCACTTAGACTGGTGGCCACATTGAAACTTTATTGATATAATTCGGTTCGTACTAAGGAGCTGATGTGCATGACATTGGTCACTACCCAGTGATCAATCAGTTGTAAACACATCTCAATCTTATAGGGGGGTGGTAACGCCTCTGACTGTGAAGCTATGTGACACAGGATCAAATCCTGGAAGAAGTATCAGTTCTCTCAAGATAACAAATGCGCCTTGGTGATGAGTGCCAAATACCATGAAACCTAGGTTCAGGGTTTCTTGTCGACTACCTCTAGCCACCACCTTACACGGAGTAACATCTTTACCCTTCATATTTCGATTGTGAATTTTAATCAAGTATCTGTTAAATGAGTTAATTATTAATTTAAATTAACATTCACTAACAAAATGTTTAGTTTCGACTAAAAGATGCAAAAATGTGTTAAGAGGTAAATCTTATCTATTTTTGAATGCAGTCACTAGGTAATTAACGAAAAATGTCCGCGGGAATTATTGTGAATGCTTTACTTCGAATCCTAGTGTAGAGGTATAGAAAACAAGGGTATCTTTAAGATTGTATATGATTTTAAAATCCTAGATCTTTTTGGCAAACATGAAAAAAATTAGTAGTAAATCGATAGTTTTTCAGTCGGGACAATAAAGAAAATCATTCGTTTCTTAGAATTGTATTTGAAGTTTAAAACGAACACCGATCATTCGATGTATTATCTGCATTTTCATGCTTTCTTAGAACGCTTTCGAAAAATTATCATCGAAGTCAGTGAGCTCAACATTTAGACAGACTGTATTACTCCATATCTAACATTACCGTGATAATTATGCAATAAGCATCAGTTTGTAAGTGTCCTCATTCCGACCTTCTTGAAATAGTTGAATCCCGTAACAGCCACATTTGAATTTGGGTATCCATCAACAGTGTTTTCTTTAACTTAAAATCTGAGTTAATTCACTATGCTCTTTGTAATTGTCAGGGTCTTATCACGGGAATACGAGGTTTATGCAACGGACTTGGACCTGCTCTGTTTGGGTTATTCTTTTATATATTTCGAGTAAGTTGTTTAAATTGTTGAGTTTTTTTTAACAAACTAAATTACATTCTATTCATTGAACCAAGTATAGTAAACCACTTAATAATTTTGTAAAATTTAGTGGACTGAAGTGATTTGGACATGTATTACATATGACCGATCACTGTCTACTTCAATGCAGAAATAAGTAGTTTGAGAAAAAGCTAGTGGTGATTGAACGAAAAAGATGTGACTAATTCCTGAAGTAATTAATGGTTGGTCTAAGGCAGCTATGTAAATGCAGACTACCTGGTTGATGACTTTGAATTAGAACCAATGCATTTACTCCTTTTTCCTCGATTAAGTCTTGAATTCCCCTGTTTCTTCGTTCATACATTTTTATCACGTCTTTTAGAACCATATTCTCAATGCCTAGCCTTTCATCATCACTGAACATCACAATTATCTCGATGCCCATGTTATTGATCCTGCTAATTTCATCTTACCGTACTAATTTGGCATCACAGTATCTCAGGCGAACGCATATATTATGCTACGCTCCACATTAACAAACACTTGATACATTGAATAATTTATCCAAACCCACATCCCAATATACAGCTATGATCAGGTTGATTCAACAAAAGAGAAGTGATATTTAAGAAAGTATATATGAGTGTACCATTTAAAAAGAGATATATAATCCGCAAATTGTGTTTAACTGAATAATAGTGATGTGAAGCATAAGATACATGTAAAGTGTTGCATCAGTAGTATACAACAATATTACATCGTTATCGACGAAATACATGTCGTTTTAATAATAACTATTGTAAACAATGAACTGTTATTACTAAGTAGTGTATATAAAACATAGATGTCCTAAGTGTGTGTGTGTGTGTGTGGAGTATACCTACAAAGTTATGTTTTAAAATGTTACAAAATACCACACCTTTTCTTTGAACGGGTAAATACATGAGAAAAATTTATCCGTTGTAGTGCAATTTTACATTTAACTTCACTTTCGTGATCATTATTAGTGATTTTGTAATTGTTGCTATGCGTTTAATTTGTGACCCAACCATACCATGTTGCATCATGCTCAGATATTTTATTGATTTTCTGATTGTTGCCCAGTCAGTCAAATATGATATAGAATCTTGCTACATATGTGCATCAGTTCAAGTTGCCACACTACATTAGCAGAGAAAGATGAAATTACTTCGAGACAAATCTCAGAATAGTAGAAAAGATTAAATACAGAAACAAAGGTATAATGAGATTTCGAGACTCAAGATCTAAAAGAATACATAATGTGAATCCACGTGAGCTATCGGGAACGTTTCTGAGCGATTTCATCTCAGATCTCTAACCACTGACTGCAATAATCACACGGACTCCTAATCAGGTAGTCTGCATCTACTTAAATCACCCAATCCACTTATTAGTCACTTCATGGACTGATGCCATATCTTTGTATGGCCACTCTTAGCTTTCTTTTAACCTACTTCTATGCCAAATAAAATCACCCATCGAGGTAGGCGGTGGTTGGTCTTATGTAACACATCCATTCAGATTCATTACTTCATCTACCAATTTGCCATCTTTTCTAAGTGTTTCTAGCTCTACTTGACTCAGCATTATAAAATCCAGTAATTTCTTGGTTATTAGAAGACTGTTGAATGTTGACTTTCCTGAATAGATAAAGTGTATGAGTGTTAGCCCATGTTTCCCTTACTTTGGAGCCATCACTTATTCAATAATGTGTTGTATTGTTTTTTTTGAGTTAATGATTGTTTGTAAAATTTCCATTCTTGGTCTATGAACAATGGTATTCATCAAATGAGCTTGGTTATTCATGAAAAATATCCAAACTATATATATGGACCATAACTACTGCTTATGTATTTCGCTTCGTCTCGTTGATATTTTTATTATAAACACTCTTCAATGAATAAACTTCTCTTTCAATATTACAGATAAAAATCTTTTCTATTTCATAGCCAGACTAATTGCTGCTTTTTTTCACTAGAAAATAATACTATTCTATCTAATTATGTTTAGGTCAAGTTAAATTTGTGACCTAGTCTGTGTTATTCTCTTTCTTGCGCTCTATAAAGATTGACTTACTTATCATATAATCGATCATTTTTGTGCTACTTGTTTCTCTCAATGTCTGTGTATCAGTTTCAGCGTGTGTGTTTTTGTGTATTACTTTATTGGTATCATTTTTAATTTAGATAGATTGTGCCTTCTCAAAGATTATTCTATTAGAATGTAGAAAATTATGGAGTCTATTGTCGACTATTTTCCCTTTCAAGTACAAATACTATGTTCACTTGACTTTGAACAGTACTTTTCATGTATAAATGGTTAGGGATAGTGATTGGTTACCTCTAGTCTGTAATCGGTATGTTGGGATTCGAGCCTGGTAGATTGCTGATTACTAATTTCCTATTGTTCCACCAGCGTTGTTATTACGATACGAATCTGCTCAAGTCACCTCTTTCCATGTATATGTGTAAGAGAGAGTTAGTTTCAAACTATTCAAATATCAAAAGTAAGATAAGTATAGTGAGATTCGTATATACAGTTCGGATATAATCGATTGTGTACACTGTAAACTAAAATATTATGTATTTTGTAAAGTTGTTTGTAATTATTTACTTCTTGTTTTTCAATGGTGTTCTCCTGTCTGTGTGTGGTATACAGGTATTTCACTCTTGGAATAGATGAAGTTTTATTTCTTCAAGACGACCCGTAATCTTTTAGAAAAAGGTCGAATATATCATCTAATGCTTTAATCCTACTATGTAAGCTGACAAGCTATTGTAGGGGTATTTTTCTTACTATTCACCTATCTTAATCCACCTTCCTTATTCTCCTGTCTGAATTGATTCGAATACATTTGTATTAGCATAAGTTGTCGGCATGTTTGTCTGAATTTCGACATTCAATTTCTTTGCACAGTTTGCATACCTGATCGAATGGTTAGTCAAGCGTTTAGAGCGTGATAATGATTAAATCGATTCATAGGTAGTCATTATCAAAATAGAGTCCGGCAAAAATGTACGTTAGTTCAAGTTGCCATACTATATTAGCACAAAGATATGAACAGCAAAGGAGATCTAAATAATGTAGTAACAGCAATAATGAGAACGGGTCAATATTGGAAATATGGTTTTAAAAAATGGTTGGTTGTTATGCATGAAGAAATACTGGAATTGTGCATGGAGATGAAAATAAAGAGTAAATACTTCTGTTCCATGTCATCAAGGCTCTCCAACTATTGATCTCAACCAGATAGTCTACATCTACTAACATAACTGAGATAATGACTTCACGAACTGATACACTATCTTCTTTTAACTACCTCTAACAACTGAGCGTAAAAAATATTACATAATGAGTATAAGAACTTGCGTCTAAATTTGATCGAATAATTTCACAGTATTTGGTTGCCAAATGTATTTGAGACATTAAGGTGAAAGAATGTAGTTTTAAAATCTCAGAGAATGGATTTAAAGTAAATCGAACGTTTCGTTTGATAATCTGGTCTAAGCTTTTTCAAGGTAATATCATCAAAATGATCGAATATAAATAAGTATATACTTCTCTGGTTAATTATATTACTAAATAGGTCATCTAATCACACCATATATCTCTTACTCATTAAAACTAATATGTACTTTAAATACTGTTAACATTGATTGGATGACCTATTTAATATACAATTAACCAGAGAAGTATATACTTATTTACATTCGATCATTTTGATTATATTTCCTTGAAAAAGCTAGAACCGGATGATCAAGTGAAACGTTTGATTTTATCCATTCAAATTCATTCTCTGACATTTTACAATTACATTCTTCCTCCATGATATAATGAGTTCTTGCCGAGTTATTTTATTCAATAAGAAAGATTAGTTCAGCGAAGAGTTCTCCCTTTTTCGGCGAATTCATTTTCAAAACTGTACAATCGCAAATATATATTTTCAATGATTAAGATCATTAGTCAGTTGAAGCTAGACCATCATGGAAAACCTAGAAGCACTGGACGGCCGTTTCGTCCTAGCATAGGACTCCTCAGCAGTGCGTATCCACGATCCCGCACCTCCCGGGATTCGAACCCAGGACCTATTAGTCTCGCACGCTAGCGCCTAACCACTAGACCACTGAGCCACCATCCAACGGTGTTAATGTCTAACTTCAACCAATCCACGAAGTTGCGACACCATACTCCATTATCTTCAGTGAGGTAGTATCTCACAACAGACCTGGTTGAACTCCACTGGTAACGGCTTCTAACTAGTGCTCCAGAAGTATCTCCTGAAGTCGCGCAACTTTGTGGATTGGTTGAAGTTAGACATTAACACCGTTGGATGCCGGCTCAGTGGTCTAGTGGTTATGTGCTCACGCGCGAAGCCAGTAAGTCCTGGGTTGGAATCTCGCAGGGAGCGAGGTCGTGGATGCGCAGTGCTGAGGAGTTCCACAATAAGACGAAACGGCCGTCCAGTGCTTCCAGGTTTTCCATGGTGGTCTAGCTTCAGTTGACTCGTGATTTCAACCTGTGAAATTCTGTAATACATTATTCGACAATTGAATTTATATGGTTAATTTCTTTCAATAGTTAGGTTATGTATTTTCCATGTCCCAATGTTACTACTTAATACAAATCAGTAGGTTAATTGAATCACTACCCTTAATTTTTTCTTGTATACAATAATTTTCAAGTAATTTCATTGTATTGAAATACATCTATGAGGGAACACTTTCCATAATTGATCATTTCAATTACTAAACTAACTAATCTATCATACTTTCTTATTTTGATCGTTCCTTCTTTGTCTTAGTATATATGACATACAAACATTCTTATTTACTTTCTTCATTTTACAGAAAATGTTATTTAATAACAATTTTCAAAATATTTTTTCTCCTCCCTCCCTCTCTTTCTCTCTTCAATAGTAACAATAGTTGTCATCTAAACATAAATTTACTATTATTGATTTAAACCCTATAATTAACAAAAATTAATTT